AAGCCTGATAACAAGTTGTGAACTAGAGCTGAAGTATCTACTTTCTTTAGTGGCCAGTGAAGTATCTACTTTCTTTAGTGGCCAGTGAAGTATCTACTTTCTTTAGTGGCCAGTGAAGTATCTACTTTCTTTAGTGGCCAGTGAAGTATCTACTTTTCTTTGGCCAGTGAAGTATGTACTTTCTTTAGTGGCCAGTGAAGTATCTACTTTCTTTAGTGGCCAGTGAAGTATCTACTTTCTTTAGTGGCCAGTGAAGTATGTACTTTCTTTAGTGGCCAGTGAAGTATCTACTTTCTTTAGTGGCCAGTGAAGTATCTACTTTCTTTAGTGGCCAGTGAAGTATCTACTTTCTTTAGTGGCCAGTGAAGTATCTACTTTCTTTAGTGGCCAGTGAAGTATCTACTTTCTTTAGTGGCCAGTGAAGTATCTACTTTCTTTAGTGGCCAGTGAAGTATCTACTTTCTTTAGTGGCCAGTGAAGTATCTACTTTCTTTAGTGGCCAGTGAAGTATCTACTTTCTTTAGTGGCCAGTGAAGTATCTACTTCTTTAGTGGCCAGTGAAGTATCTACTTTCTTTAGTGGCCAGTGAAGTATCTACTTTCTTTAGTGGCCAGTGAAGTATCTACTTTCTTTAGTGGCCAGTGAAGTATGTACTTTCTTTAGTGGCCAGTGAAGTATCTACTTTTTAGTGGCCAGTGAAGTATCTACTTTCTTTAGTGGCCAGTGAAGTATCTACTTTCTTTAGTGGCCAGTGAATTATCTACTTCTTAGTGGCCAGTGAAGTATTCTACTTTCTTTAGTGGCCAGTGAAGGATCTACTTCTTTAGTGGGCCATGAGTATCTACTTCTTTAGTGGCCACGTAGTGAAGTATCTACTTTCTTTAGTGGCCAGGTGAAGTATCTACTTTCTTTAGTGGCCAGTGAAGTATCTACTTTCTTTAGTGGCCAGTGAAGTATCTACTTTCTTTAGTGGCCAGTGAAGTATCTACTTTCTTTAGTGGCCAGTGAAGTATCTACTTTCTTTAGTGACCAGTGAAGTATCTACTTTCTTTGGTGACCAGTGAAGTATGTACTTTCTTTAGTGCCAGTGAAGTATCTACTTTCTTTAGTGGCCAGTGAAAGTATCTACTTTCTTTAGTGGCCAGTGAAGTATGTACTTTCTTTAGTGGCCAGTGAAGTATCTACTTTCTTTAGTGGCCAGTGAAGTATGTACTTTCTTTAGTGGCCAGTGAAGTATCTACTTTCTTTAGTGGCCAGTGAAGAGATTATTACAAAAGTCAAACCTGCAAAAACTAATAAAGCATGATTCATCTTCCCTGCATCCTGTTTTATCAGACAACCTGGCTTTAGGAGAAGTTAGTAGGTGAAAAAGACTGTCTTGGTCACTTCTAACTCTGATGACCGAGATAGAAAGCTCCTTCGGACTGGAATAATTTGCCACCTATTACAGTATATGACGGCTTCACTTATTTTGAAATGTTCCCAAATGCTCTGTCTCCTTTTTGTTGTTGCCTGGTTAACTGTATATGCTATAGATGAAATCCCAAGTACAAAACACTAACTTTATATACATATATTATTTTTGTATTGCTAGGATAATGTATTTGTTCAGGGCTTTACTGTGGCCATATGTCCGAAATCGTATCTTAAATTGTATTTAAGTATAGTCTGTGGTTGCATTGTGATGTGATAGTTATTGTGTTATTGATTTCTTGTTATTGTTTGTGTGGGGGAAACGTCTGAAGCAATGGGAGTCAGGACTCAGAGAGACACGAGGAGAGCTGGAGCTTTGATGGCAAACACCGACGGTTTATTTGGAGCTTCGGCCGGAGAATTCACAAGACATGTCACAGGCCACGAGTTGACCACACGGTTGAGACGCCACAATCAATTCTGAAGACCCCTCCTGTAGCTCCAGGTTTGAACCAGTTCAGAGTGGAATAATCAACATTCTTCAATAGACTAAACAGCTGAGGACACTGAATCACATTTGTTGTCGCTTATGGCTCGGGGTCATCTACACCCCGAGAAGGATGTGTTCCAGGTGTCCCACAACAATAACTATCTCTGACCGAGAGGTGCCCGGTCAAAAACTAGTAACAACATCAACTTGCTAGGGCAGCCCCTCCTTGAGGGAGATAACGGCTGCTCAAGGTTGGTCAGCTGCGTCAAAGGGCGAAAGGTAAACATTTAGGGCGAAATTATTCGCTGACAGTTTGTGCTGTATATTTCGCTCCCTTGAAAGATGGTTAATCTCAAGGTTTTATCCTAAATTAATACTTTTCAAAACTAAAACACTTTTTGAAAAGTTTCTCTCTCTTGAATTAAAGTCAGAGCAAGCAGTTCGTCTTTTTTATGTTCTCTAGTTTAAAAAAAGTTCACTCATTCACTGATTCGAGGCCAAACAGGCATCCTTGTACCACGATCAGTTCTCTCAAGAGAAACGTAACTTGTACGTTTTCTACTTTATTAATGCTGCTTATTTCTATTTTGAGATGTTTACATTTTAGAATTGTTTATTTCTACTCTTTTAATTTCTACTTATGTGCAATGCCTTGTTTTTTATGCTGCTGCAACGCAAACATTTCCTAATTTGGGATCAATTAAGTACATCTTATGTTATCTTATCTTAAAGGTCACCTATCATGCTATTTTTAGGCAATAGCATAGGTCTCAGATATATACAAATATATAAAAAACATGTCTATGAAGTGTGAATGAAATACAGATCACCCATTCTAGCCATGCCTCATATCCCTCTATTTCACTTCCTGTTTCAAAAGTGCTGATTTGGGTATTAAGCTTTAAAAAAAAAGGAGGGGGCTGAGCTCATGCGGGACCCGGCAGCTACTGTCTAAACTAAATGCTGCCGTGATGAAACGCCATATCATGGATTATCAAGGATTCTCTCTGAAACAGTCTGGAGCTCAAAGGCTTTCTCTCTTGCCGGTTATACCACAAGGTGAGTTCCTTTTTACTTCCTGCTTCTTCACACACATGCTCTCCAGCACAGGTTAGCTCTGAGTGTTAGCGATGCTAATGTAAACACCGACCATATTACGTCCAAAACAGTCGGGCATTGTTTCTGATAGCAACGTTTCTGATTGGGCCGTGGGTCCACATTTCAGATATTACGTCATATCGGACGCAAATCTGGATCAGCTCCGTTGTTCCCGTTTTTAGAGATTTGGGTACGGAGGAAAAGAGAGAGGGTTTTATTTTCTGACGCTGCGTGAGTTCCCCGACACACCGGGGACACATCTTTATGTAGAAAAGACATAAAAAAGTGCATTTTGCATGATAGGTCCCCTTTAACTCTGTGTGTCATCTGCGTAGCAATTCAAATCTGTTTTGAACTGATGACATTTGTACAGAACAAACGAGAGCACAAAGCTCGTCTGCACATTTGAGACTCAGTAATTTGAAGGCTTGTTACAAAAAGCCTCCACCGACCTTTAGTGTGCTCGCAAGTGTTCATTAAAAGCAACAGCGTTTTTATTGCAAAATAAAGAAAGAAAGCCTTTTTCATGGCCGTGGCTGCTTTTACTCAAGTGGCCTTTAATCCTCACTCCAATGAACAACTTTCCTCCCAAACAGTCTAATGGCTTAGAAAAGCATAGAGAGGGGGAACACACACACACAGAAAATGAAGGGAAGTAAGAGGGGGGGGAGATCAAGTGAGAAGGTAATGAAAGGATGTCAGGATGTGGGAGTGAGGGATGGATGTGAGCGGCTCTCTGGTGTCAGGACCGTGACATGAAGGTTAATGGGAGAACATTTATCACAGCGCTGGTGGGTCCAAGCTGAAAACCAGCGAGATGTGTCAGCACTTTACAGTTCACTGCTGATATACTAACTGTTGTTCATATCCTTTCTTACTTTATATCAAAACACAGTCTGCACACTTCAGAAAGCTCTCTTATTCCTGCATTGAGTTAAGAAAGAAAGCAGCGAGGAAGCCTCATAAATCACAGAACATCCATCCATAGGACATCTGTTATTACAGAAGAGGCACAGCGGCTTCGATATAAAACGCTTTGTGGTTTTCTCTGAATTTATAAGGTTGTTTTTTTTAGTTCTTAAAAGGCAGTGAATGCAGACATTTCCAAAATTAATGGTTTTGCAGAAATGTTACAATTGGTGGATCATGAATAATGAATAATAGAGCATAGTAAAACACAAGGCTTCTCCATTGTCCACAACAGTCTAATGTATTCATATAGTTTGCATCTAGAATAAACTTCACTTACCAATATTTGAAATAAACAAAAATAAATCAGACTCACAACATTCCCTTTGTAGTTTTAAGCCACAGAGGTTTTTAACTGCTTTAATATGTATAACAAATATAAATTACATGATCACACAACCATTGAAATGGCAGGAATACACGTGCACAAGTTGTTGACTTTTTAATGGACTAAACCACATTTCACAGTACACTAATTAATGTATCAATAAATACGATGAAACAATATAATAAATACATTGTTTTATGAAATGGGCCGCGGATATTGAATACTTTTATATTCAAGTACATCTTAATGGTAATACTTGGAGTCAGAGCTTGAGTGCAGGACTTTTACTTAATGAAAGAACGTGTACATTGTGGTATCACTACTTTTAATAAAGTACATTATTTGAGTACTTCTTCATCCACAGTGTATAGATTTGATGTGGCGTTATGCTGCCTGTGTTGCAAGTGTTTTGTATTTTCTTGAATCAGGACTGTATTCTGGTAGAACACTACACACACACACACACACACACACACACACACACACACACACACACACACACACACACACACACACACACACACACACACACACACACACACACACACACACACACACACACACACACACACACACACACACACACACACACACACACACACACACACACACACACACACACACACACACACACACACACACACACACACACACACACACACACACACACACACACACACACACACACTCTCTCTCTTACACAGCATGGCTTTGCCCTCGTCCTCCAGTTCAAAGCGCAGTGTCTGCAGCTCCTGCTCCGACTGCTGTTTGAGCGTCTCGATGCTCTGACGGTGAGCATCTCTCAGAGACTGCAGCTCCGCGTGGTGGTGGTGGCGGAGACGCTCCTCCAAATCCTGAGGGGGGAGGAGAGGGGAGGAAAAGAGTGGTGGAGGTGGTGGTGGAGGAAGGGAGAGTGTAGAGGGACATTTGAGGATAAAAAGTTACGGACATAGGAGGAGATGATGGAGTGAGAGAAAAGAAAGGAAAATGAAAAAGTGAGAGAAAGCAGGGAGAGGGAAGTGCATTAGCATTATTTTAGATCCTCTATAAGGGCAGAAGGAGAAACTGCCCAGTCAACATACAGTGAATTCAACTGCACTGAAACACCAGCACAGTTTCTGAGAAACACTTCACCTGCGACTGTATATCAACATGTTTTAAAAACCACAGATTATTCCTCCCCCACATTCGGAAGAGTTGTCTTTAAGAGGTTTGCAGAAAGATTCTTGTGCAACACGAGCTTGACTGTGAGGAAAACTATTGGAAGTCACTCTGCTGTAGACTTTTAAAGATTCTCTCACCATCAAAATAAATTGTTATATTGACAGTTGTATCCTAGAGTTTGTGAGAAAGCAAAGGTAAGGTCACAACTGCAATGATTTCCAGTTGAGAATTGCCTTGACTGAAACTCTACTTTTATAATACTGATAATAAGTTCAATATCATTTCATTATCTACAGTGAGTATACAAAAACAGACATATTACAATTTTTGAAAACTGACAAGCACTTTTCTACAAAATGTAGTTACAGGGTGTATGCAGGAATCCTGAAGTCACATGTAATCCCTTTTAAGACCTTTTATAAGACCCTTTCCGTACATTTTAAGACCTCATCTCCACTTGGAGTTCTAACCGGTTACCTTGGCGACACACTTTACCTCACATTGACTATATTCAGTATTGATTGTCCTTCACGCAGACTTGCATTTCCCCATAACGATGGTGTTTAACAACCGGCGTAAACGGACCTTCGCGCGCTATCAAGCAGTGAGCGTGCGATGTCCTGTTCAGATGACGTCAAATCCAACGGGATGCCATCAATAAACTACACAGAATCACACTACACACCTACGCAATGATTACATTCAGGCAGACTGTAGAATACAACCTCTTTGGACCATTTATATACTTATTGAAAACAAGCTACAAAATGTAAAACCTTGGAAAATGCCGTTTAATACTTTTTAATAGCCTTCATTTTCGCTAAATTGATTTATCAACTTGTAATACTTTTTAAGACCCCGCGGACCCCCTGAGTTACCAGGCCATAGCACGGCTAACTTGCAATACTTTAAAAAAAACACATGGACAACTAATGCCTCTTCGAACCAACTCAGACGCTTGTAGTGTGAACGGTTGTATTACAGTGAGCTCATCTGTCTGATGGCTGTCAGCTGGCCTGTGAGAATAAAACTGAGACCAATATTACATTTGAACATTTAGAGCCAGAGCCACAAAGCAAGATAAAGTGAAGAAAACTAAAACCCAGCACAGGCCTGAAGAATTGCAGATATATGATCAAATCTTTTCTACCTATAATCCTGCTTTATGCCAAAATGTACTGTCATTTATTTGTGTTGGCGTGCTATGTTATCAATGTGGATAGATCCCGTTTCTTACCTGTTGTACACATGTGGACACACAAATGATGTACAGTGTCATGCTACTTTTCTCTCTTCCTCAAGTAAGTCAAACCCTGCGACCCCTTAAACAAAGTTCCCATCAGCAACAACACGTGGGTTTGCTATCCTGGCTCCTAGATGGTGGAATGAGCTCCCCATTGACATCAGGACAGCAGATAGCTTGCACATCTTCCGGCGCAGACTGAAAAACTCATCTCTTTCGACTCCACTTCGAGCGATAGAACTATTAACGAAGCACTTTTATACTAATAAAGGACTGGCTTACCTAAAGCCAGTTGAGTAGCACTTGAAATGTTTGGCTCTATGAAACCTGATGTACTTATATGATTCTGTTTTCTTCAAGGTTGTGTCTTCCTGGTCGAATGTACTTATTGTAAGTCGCTTTGGATAAAAGCGTCAGCTAAATGCAATGTAATGTAATGTAGTGTCTCTACTGTGACATGCTTTAATGTTCAAAAAGCTCTTTATTTCCCTCATTCTCCCTGTACCTCTTCCCCCCTCTGTCTGGGGTAATACATGCCTTTGCTGACTGAAATCAAATGAAGGAAATGTTGCATATTAAATGGAGTATTTGATAGAGTTCAGGTCTCATTTTCATTACCACAGAACCCTTAAAGCCACACCATTACAGACACAAAGCTGCTGTTCACACATTCAGATCAAGCCATTTTCTGTCAGTAAGACATTAAGATGCCATTTTGCAAATTATAACCAGAGCCCGTCAACAAGGAAACGTCTTCAAATGATATTCATAGAAGATGGACGGCAACATCTGCGGCATTTTAATTCCACTGATATGAAATGCCTTTGGGGAATGATTCATGGGAGGACGACAGCCCTGATTATTCAAATGAATCTCGTTCAGAGTCATCGAACATCAGTCTGGGATTTTAAGCGTTTGACGGGAGCCCGTGCTGTTTTTATGGTAACGCTGAAAACAGACGTGGTACAGATCATTAAAGACAAGATCTTAGTGAGTCAGAGGAAGACAAATAATGTTGGTATAATAAGTAAAATAAGCTTCCCAGAGCAATACAAAGACAACTATCATTCAGCCTAATTTCCTCACCAAAGTACCTATTGTTTACTCTGTATTATGTTTAAATGTGGCCTCATTTTATGTCTAATAAAACTAATGCGAATCACACAAAAGACTAGGGATGTAACGATATATCGAATATCGCGGTAAATAAATGTCTCAATACCGCCGTGAGACTGACAAAATCTACCGCGATTTATTTAAACCTTTATTTAACCAGGTGGTCCCATTGAGATCATCCATCTCTTTTTCAAGGGAGACCTGTCCAACATGGCAGCAAGTAGGTTACAACATGAACATAAAACAACAGATAACACAAAAGGACATCGTATTTACAGGGCTACATTTACACACCTAGAGACATTGACAAGTACCAACAGTATATCTATATCTCTGTCAATAAGCCTCACCTTCTTGGCAAACACTGTATTGTTGTTGAAGTGGTGGAGAGACAATGCACAGTTTGACCCACTGCTGTCACCCATGGCCAAAGCATATCTCTCTGTCCCAGCAACATCAGTATCAAGCAAGAGAGTTGTTTCCACAGCAGGGGATTTTGTAAACGCCCAAACATCCCAGCTTCTACCTGGAAATGTGGACATGCTCATATTCCTGAAAGATAACCTTGATGACGCTGAGTGAGTGAGTGAGTTAGAGTTGAGTTACTTGAAAAACTAAAGTGAAACTTGATTTATTTTATTGCAGGGTCTGATTATTATATTGTTGACACTTTAAAATACTACTATCTACTAAAATGCTTTACAAATCAGATTTATTATTTGATAAAAAAAAAAAATTCAAGTTAAAATTTTTTTTTAAAAAACACATTTTTTTTCTTTATTTTTCAATATCGTGATAAATATCGTACCGTGAACTTTTTATCGCGATATTATCGTACCGTGAGTTTTTGGTATCGTTACATCCCTACAAAAGACATAAAATGACCAGAAAAAGATACAGAATGAACACAAAAATACAGAATGACGACAAAAGACATAGAATGACCACAAAATGACACGGATTGAAGTCAACGTGTTTTGCTCCTGTAAGAGTGTGTGTGGGGTCTTATAATGCATGTTTCATAACCCGCCCTTGTATTACTTGGACATTTTATACGTTTTGTATATTAAATCGCAGAGGAGGTAAGACAATTCTCCCTCTGAAAGGAGACAGGCAAATGTTGTAGTGAGCAAGAGTGTGAGAGATAAGATAAGTGCGACAGAAGATGATAAGGAAAGCAATAAGCCCTCAGACGCTGCGTACACACACTGTGAACACACACTGTGAACACTCACTCTGCGTACACACACTCTGTGAACACACACTGTGAACACTCACTCTGCACACACACTCTGCGTACACACACTCTGTGAACACTCACTCTGCACACACACTCTGCGTACACACTCTGCTGCTATTTGTAGCTTTTTGGAGGGGAGAAGTTCGGGATGTAAATTAGGTTATGCTCGTGTGTCTGTGTAGCGAGGATTTGCCACAACTTTATTACTCCCAGGATGTAACTGGACGGACACACACACACACACACACACACACACACACACACACACACACACACACACACACACACACACACACACACACACACACACACACACACACACACACACACACACACACACACACACACACACACACACACACACACACACACACACACACACACCACACACACACACACACACACACACACACACACACACACACACACACACACACACACACACACACACACACACACACACACACACACACACACACACACACACCACACACACACACACACACACACACACACACACACACACACACACACACACACACACACACACACACACACACGTCAGATTTGCGGTAATATAAAAGAGAGTGTGCGCCAGAAGACCAATCACAACAGAGCCGGCCAGCTAACCAATCAGAGCAGACTGGGCTCTGGTTTCAGACAGAGGGTGAGACAAATAAAGAGCTTTTTGAATATTAAAGCATGGAGACATGTCACAGTAGAGACACTACATACTTAAATGAACCTGACAATGCATGGGCGTCACAGCCATTAGCCACAAGTCCCCCCACCTTTTCAAATGATTAGTTTAGACCCCCCACTTTTACTATGCGGAAAGTCCGTGAATCGGTCTATCCACTCGCCTCTCTGTAGAGCGCTGTGTCAGTGCTTCACTATCAAATCCATTCCACTTGCTTATTGGGAGAATGCCCAAATCAATGAAACTCCGTCCCATGTTTTCACTGCTACTTTGTACCAAGGCAGATTCTCAGAGCGGTACACATGAGCCGTACACATGCTGCGTGTTTTGTGTAGCTGTGTCTTTAGTTGTAAAATGATGTGCGCCACAGTTTCCACGCTGCGAGGCTCCGGCGCTAACAGTTCACGAGCGTGCTCCACTAGCACCCGGATATAAGGCGCTGTTATTAAAGAGGTGGAGGGAGAGTCCTCTCCTGTCAGACTGAGAGGCTGATAACTACAGCTCAGTGAGGTAAAGGACTCTGAGAGGTGGAGGGAGAGTCCTCTCCTGTCAGACTGAGAGGCTGATAACCACAGCTCAGTGAGGTAAAGGACTCTGAGAGGTGGAGGAAGAGTCCTCTCCTGTCAGACTGAGAGGCTGATAACTACAGCTCAGTGAGGTAAAGGACTCTGAGAGGTGGAGGGAGAGTCCTCTCCTGTCAGACTGAGAGGCTGATAGCTACAGCTCAGTGAGGTAAAGGACTCTGAGAGGTGGAGGGAGAGTCCTCTCCTGTCAGACTGAGAGGCTGATAACTACAGCTCAGTGAGGTAAAGGACTCTGAGAGGTGGAGGGAGAGTCCTCTCCTGTCAGACTGAGAGGCTGATAACCACAGCTAAGTGAGGTAAAGGACTCTGAGAGGTGGAGGGGAGAGTCCTCTCCTGTCAGACTGAGAGGCTGATAACCCAGCTCAGTGAGGTAAAGGACTCTCTGAGGGTTTAGATAACTTTAGTCTAAGTAGTGGCTCTCAAAGTGCACCAGATTGATACATTAACTTAAAAAAAAAAAAAAATCTTTCCGGGGGAGCATGCCCGCGGACCACCCTAGAGGAGGTTAGGTCCACCACCTGCCCACACCCCCTGTCAAATTGTCCCACCCACATTGAGGATGCTTCCTACGCCCATGGCATAATGTCATCTTTAAGTAGACACTTAAGTAAATGTACTTAGCTAATAGCTGTGTGTTGGTATCAGAGAGGAAACAAGTAGAGTAGGAGAGACATATAACAGAAGGTGAATGTTTGCTGGAGCAGTCACTTTGGTTTACACGGAAATAAATAATGAAGACTTCTGAGTTTTTAAGAACGGTGAGTGACTCAGAGGTGATGTTCCTTCTCCCCACTCGAACACACACTTGCCCTTATTCATACCGCCATCATGAGGACGCCGTTCCCTGACCTCCATTCAGCCTCGAGCATTAACACAATTACAGCGTCCATGGCGTCGGAGAGGGGATTTGGCGATTGTGATGTATAGCTCATCCAAATCGACCTTGACTGTGATATGGTCGGATTAGCGGTGAGGAACACATTTCCTTTGGCACCTCGAGGCGTGTTGTATGTTGCTTTGTGCGTTGCATATTTTGACCTTATAAGAGGGGGAAACGTGGAGCTGTCAGAAGAGCGTCTTGATGTGGAAACCGTCTGCTGTCAGAGGAGAGTGAGGGATGATGAGTCACTGCCACGCTAACCTTGACTCTGACAAGCCTCTGCTGGATGCAAATGTCATGGATGGAGCTTCTCAAACAGATTACATAACGGCTGCAGATCATAGTCTAAGGGTTCTTTTAAATGCATATATTAATTCGATTTAATTATTGAATTGCTCATACTTTGTTCGCTCACTTAGAAAGGTTTAGAAAAGTGTCAAAGAACTATCATTTCACGGGAAAAGCCTGCAGGTCCGCTGAAGACTTTTCTTTTTGCCGCTTCTTTTAATTGAACTATTCACATCTCACACGGCACAGTACTTGTATTCATGTACCTGTGTTATTCACGTTTTTATTATCTTTGCTCTTTAAAGTTCTAATGTGTTTTATGCTCTTAATGTCTTTCATTTTTGTAAAGCACTTTGAATTGCCTTGTGTTGACAAGCGCTATATATATTTAAAGGTCACCTATCATGCTATTTGTAGGCAATAGCATGGGTCTCAAATATATACAAATATATAAAAACATGTCTATGAAGTGTTTTGCTCAAAATACCAAACAGATCATTCTAGCCATGCCTCATATCCCTCTATTTCACTTCCTGTTTCTAAAGTGCTGATTTGGGTATAAAGCTTTAAAGAGGAGGGGTCTGAGCTCATGCGGGACCCGGCAGCTACTGTCTAAACTAAATGCTGCCGCTGATGAAACGCCATATCATGGATATCAAGGATTCTCTCTGAAACAGTCTGGAGCTCAAAGGCTTTCTCTCTTGCCGGTTATACCACAAGGTGAGTTCCTTTTTACTTCCTGCTTCTTACACACATTCTCTCCAGTACAGGTTAGCTCTGAATGTTTAGCCATGCTAATGTAAACACCGACCATATTACGTCCAAACAGTCGGGCATTGTTTCTGATAGCAACGTTTTCTGATTGGGCCGTGGGTCCACATTTCAGATATTACGTCATATCGGGACGCAAATCTGGATCAGCTCCGTTGTTCCCCGTTTTTAGAGATTTGGGTACGGAGGAAAAGAGAGAGGGTTTTGTTTCTGACGCTGCGTGAGTTCCAGACACACCGGGACACATGTTTTATGTATGAAAGACATCACAAAGGCATTTTGCATGATAGGTCCCCTTTAAACTTGCCTTGCCTAACTTTGATGGTGCCAGTAAAGGCCTCCAGTGCTTCCATCATAATGAGGATTGAGTGTGCTGAAATGCAGGTTTCTCTGGTTTTGCTTTACTGCAGTGGTCCTCACATTTCCTCAGCCATTATTCTAGTTAACTTTCCATGATAAATGCTCCCATTGTTGTACATCAGATCTCTGTCCATGGTGCTCATTATCCCTGTATGCATTGCTGTAGCTCTCCATGGTGCTGAGGTCACTTCTCAGTGTAGTTTTGCAGCACAATGTATCAGCACTCTGATTGCCTGCAGTATTTCTCTCAGGCTGTATCACCTGTGTAGTGATTTCTGATTGCATTGTTACTAAATGCTGCCAAAAATATCCTGCTTGACCTTTTGACAAAAGCTACTTAAACATGTGAGGCTGATATATCGATCGATCTGATCTTAATCCAGTTTTTCATTGAAGGAAAGATATGTCTACAGTCATTTTTCAGACCATATATGGGGTGAAATATTTGTATTAAACAAATTGAAGGGATGCATGTCATAGAAAAGATCTCCTATTGGCAACATTTTTGGCTATTTCCAGATCTTTTTAGTTTCAAAATATCCCCAACACTATTGTATGGAAACTATCAAATTATATATCGAAGTATATTATCTTTTGCAGATGCTTATAGCAAGTAAAGATATGTTTGAGGTTATTTGTTCTCCTTCTCAGTCCATAATGGGGCAAAATCTATATTGAACAAATGTAGCATGCTAGGTAATATGTAACGTAAATATGTGATTAGTTTTGAGGTCATTTTTTGCACACAGCACATTTCATAGGGTCAAAATCGTTATCAAACACTCCAGTTTCACTCAGCTCTATGTTTGACCACTAGTAGAGCTATGTTTGTGTTTTCATGGTTTACTAACTTGCACGAGGGTAAACAAGTGCATTCACAAGCATGAAATTACACTTCATGCAAGTGTCTTAAATGATTCCAAAGTTAGACGGAGTAACATCCTCAATAAAGCAGCAATGTTCCAGTTAAGAAAGGAAAGAAGAATGCTTGTCAGCAAACATTGAATTTGTCCTTGCACGGTATTTGGTATTATTTCAAATCTTAGGAAAGTACTGTTTTATAAACACGTGTTTTGAGTGCATGTCTGGCTCCGCCCACCTTCAGTCCCTCTTGCGGGCGTGCTCCCATGTCCTGCATGGAGCTGAGGTGCAGCTCCTGCAGGCGCTGCTGCCTCCTCTGGTGCTCCGTCTGCAGCTCGTCCAGCTGCAGCCTCAGGTGCTCCCTCCTCCTGACTGAACTGCTGCTGCAGCTGCTGAGGGACGACCTGCGACTGAGAGAGCTGCATCTCCAGACTCTGCTTCAGCAGGGAGATCTGCACAGGGAGACAAACGTCATACATGTTTGTTAGAAAAAATATCACTGGTCACCGGCTTGAGCTTCAATAACAGGATCCATGTATCTGGGATCCTCCAGAATGGAGTAGTCATCACACACAGAGCATTCAACTAGTTCCTGAACAGTGTCCTTCACATGCTGATATCCAAGAGAGGGAGTTACACAGTCACAAGATGGAGGAATACCGGTTCTTGTGGGTAATCATACATCCTGTCATGAACCAAATACTGGGTTTTTTCTCAAAATGTTGGATTTTATCTCAAAATTCTGACTTTTTTCTCAAAATTCTGCCTTTTTTCTCAAAATTCTGCCTTTTTTCTCAAAATTCGGACTTTCTCAAAATCTCAAAATTCGGACTTTTTCTGAATACTTAACATTTCACGTCATGTACACAGTTGGGTCTTTGTTATCATGTGTCTACTCTGATATGGAAGAGGACATTCAGTATTTTCCCAACAATGTTAGACAGGTGGAGGAGGAGGAAGTATTGCAGGTAAGTTCTTAGGTAGGAATGTATAACTACAACAGACCCTGGAAGACCACCACACAATATGGGCTATATTACTACACAATAACCCTGTGCAATATATACCATTTCTATAACTGGCACATTTATTTTAATGCAATACTTAAAGAGGCCCTATGATGAGTTTTTCTTTTTCCTTTAGTGTGTTCTATAGGTTTTTGTGCATGTAAATGGTCTTCAAAAGCTAAAATCCGTGTGTTTCCCCCCTGCCAGAAACGCCTCCATTGGACTCCTTTGTTTACTTCAGTTATTTGTGACATCACTATGAAACACTCGTGCTTCTATTGGCTAGCGCTCCAACACATTGTACGTGATAAGGGGCTAAGGGGCGGAGACATAATAACATACATAATAGTTCATAGTAATACCTCCATTGCACTCCTTTGTTTACTTCAGAAACATAATGACATAATTTTGTAACACTCGCCATTCTATTGGCTAGCGCTCCAACACATTGTACGTGATAGGCTAAGGGGCGGGACATCTCTAAGCGGTTGACCAATCACAACAGAGCCGACCAGCTAACCAATCAGATCACACTGGGCTCTGGTTTCAGACAGAGGGTGAAAAGAGGTGCTGCAGCACAGGCAGTATGAGAACAATAAAGAGCTTTTTGAACATTAGAGCATGGAGACATGTCACAGTAGAGACACTACATACAAAAATGTATATAATATGTCCTATGTAATGCTGTATAGACTGTTAACTACTTCTAACTGATAATTTCATATATTCACTTCCATAATACTGCTACTTATCCTTCCTATCTTGGATGTGTACTTAAGGGCAGAGCACTGGTGGTAATCAATTAGGTTCAAGCAAAGGATATTAAGATAATTCTTTAAAGCCACAAGCAATAAAGTTTCTTTCTCTAAGTGAATACATTTGTTCAGTTCAATGCAGGACATAATGAGCTCTGTCTAATGTGTAGGGCAGCACTAGAGCAAATTGTTGGAGAGAAGCAGCATGATTAATCAAATGAGTCTGTCTAGACGACTTCAGATAATGAATATTTGGGAAAATGTAGAAGGACGACCTTGCTCAACCTGCTGTATCTGTGTATTCCAATAACGCTGATGAGATAAAGAATAACACGCTTTCTATTTTGAATCAAAGCTGAAGACTTTTCTGTTTGCTGCCACCTTTTATTACATCTAATAACTGTTCATATCTTACCCTGCACTGCCACTTTTATTCATGTATTTTGACAGTGTTTTTAAAGCAATCTTAATGCTTTTAATGTTTTTTATTAAGCGCGATTCATTGCCTTGTGTTGAAATGTGAATGAACCTGACTTGCCGCCTTTAAAATATAGTGGATGGATTTATTAACACAGGTTATATGTGCATGAAAAGTCTATGGGTGACTTACAAAATGGTGGCTTTCTTTTACAGTCCATGTGATGTACACATTATTTCTTGAACGTTTTGAAAAAGGGATATTATTTACGATATGAGAGGTTATTTTTTATTGTAATTTTAAATAATAATAAATCAACATGATCATGGTGTGATGTTTTTGGGAGGATCTGTACACGATAAAAATGTATTTCTCAAATGTGTATAATAACATTTTGGACCTCTGCAGCTCAACAATACTGCATTTTAAATGTCTTTTGAAAAATGTTTTACTGTCACAAATACTGCATCACTTTTAATTTGGATATTTTACTCGCACACATTGCGATTCAACTCCAAATAATAGTTCATCTTGTAGTTTAGCAAAATGGTATCAGCCCACACATCAATCAAGAGGCTGAACACCTGCTGCTGTGCTTTGACAAATGTAGTAAACGAGTAATCAACAAGTAAATAAATAAACATTAATCACTGCATGTCGTCTAAGGACATCATGTGTGCAGAAATGAACATTAATACAGCCGCTGACCACAGTGTGTGTTTGTTTGTGTGTGTGTGTGTGTGTGTGTGTGTGTGTGTGTGTGTGTGTGTGTGTACGATGACCACAGGAGCACTAAGTCATGCACATTAGCATTCGTCATTAGCAGTGACTGCCTTCTCCTGTGTGTTCATCACAATGTTACATAATGAGCCTAAGAGTCAGGCAGAGTGAGGAGTAGTGAGGCAGAGTGAGACAGAGAGAGGCAGTGTGAGGCAGAGTGAGGCAGAGTGAGGCAGAGTGAGGTGAGGCAGAGTGAGACAGAGTGAGATGAGGCAGAGTGAGGTAGAGTGAGGCAGAGTGAGGCAGAGTGAGGCAGAGAGGTGAGTGTTTAGAGTTAGACAGGACAGAGAGAGGCAGAGCTAGCAGGCCAGAGTAGGAGAGATAGTGATGAGTGAGACAGAGAGAGGCAGGAGTGAGGCAGAGTGAGCAGAGTGAGGTAGAGTGAGGTAGAGATTTGACGGAGAGTGTGGTGAGGCAGGAGTGAGCAGCAGAGTGAGACAGGAAGTGAGGTTGAGGCAGAGTGAGAGCAGAGTGAGGGCAGAGTGAGACAGGAGAGACGGCAAGTGATGGTAGTTGTAGAGTGAGGCAGAGTGCGTTGGAGTAGTGAGGTAGAGTGAGACGGAGTGAGGTAGCAGTGAGACAGAGGAGTGAGGGCAGAGTGAGATCAGAGTGAGAGCAGAGTGAGGTCAGAGTGAGTAGAGTGAGCAAGAGTGAGGCAGAGTGAGGCAGAGTGCGTAGAGTGAGGTAGAGTGAGGCCAGAGTGAGGCAGAGTGAGGTAGGTGAGACAGAGAGAGGCAAGAGTGAGGCAGAGTGATGTAGAGTGAGGTAGAGTGAGACGAGAGAGGCAAGAGTGGGGCAGAGTGAGGCAGAGTGAGGTAGAGTGAAGGCAGAGTAGGCAGAGAGAGGTAGAGTGAGACAGAGAGAGGCAGAGTGAGGCAGAGAGAGGTAGAGTGAGACAGAGAGAGGCAGAGTGAGGCAGAGTGAGGTAGAGTGAGGCAGAGTGAGGTAGAGTGAGACAGAGTGTGGTGAGGCAGAGTGAGGCAGAGTGAGGCAGAGTGAGGCAGAGTGAGGCAGAATGCCATTTCTACACTGTAGCTTTGTGCATATGACAATAGAACCGTTGATCGTTGATCTGTGGTAGTCCTACCTGCTCCAGCAGATCCTCCACCTTCCTCTGCCAGCTCTCCCTGGCGCTGCTCAGCTCCTGCTCTTTGCTCTGAGCCAGCTGACTCAGCGCCAACGCCTTGTCCTCCTCATGGTCCTCTCTCAGCTCCTCACGCAGCTTCTTACACTCCTGCCTGCAACACACACACACACACACACACACACACACACACACACACACCACACACACACACACAACACACACACACACACACACAACACACACACACACACACAACCACACACACACACACACACCACACACACACACACACACACACCACACACACACACACACACACACACACACACACACACACACACACACACACACACACACACACACACACACACACACACACACACACACACACACACACACACACACACACACACACACACACACACACACACACACACACACACATTTATGTTTAAGAGCATAGCTTATACTGCGATCGACAAAACAACAAAAACATGCATCGTTTCTTTATGGAACTGTTAATTGAAGTTTCCAAAAAGCCAATAGAGCAAAGAAAGCCTACACATGAATAATAAGTACAATAAAAATAACCATGTGATACATGAACAATGTATATGTGGAGTGTTTGTTAAAGGCAGAACAGCTAAAGAGAAGCCTAAACCTTAAATCATAGTAGAGTTCTGGGATCTGTAGAGCCCTACATTTAATAAAAACAAGTGTATACATCTGATAGTAATGACATCAGTTTTTACAATTTTCCAAATAGGAATAAACCAATGATTCACATGTAAACAGATTATTTCTGCAGCTAAAAACGATGCTACAGTATAAGAGAAAACAGTGGAGCTTTGGACCATATAACCAACAAATATTTGCGTTGCAGCTTTGATTTATGGTCCATCTAAGTTGGCTCGGACTTTTCTGAAGTTGCAAATGAGATTTAAGGATGACTTCGGAAGTCTTTGATAACGGCTACATTTACACACAATTATAAAGATTCAACGAACTGCAGGTGGAGTTTAATACAATTCCTTAATCATTAAAACCATTGGTTCTATTTCTAAAGCTCTTAATCTCTCAGAACATAATGCGTTTTTTTTTCAATGCACATTTTGTTGTTTTTTGTTGGCATGACTTTTTTGAAATGGCTCACAACAATATCTGGTACAATGAAAGTCTCAGTCAATCTTATGAGAGCTCAATATCTGCTTCAAGGGAATAATAAATGGTCCTTTTACATTGAACACTGCATCTATTGAGAGACCAACAGCTTTTTGCATGGCTGTGTGTGTGTGTGTGTGTGTGTGTGTGTGTGTGTGTGTGTGTGTATCAATGTAATAGCTGTGTAGGAGTGGAGATGGCAGCTGTTAAACGAAGTATTGGGGCAAACACGTTTCTTTGACACTTTGACAGCCAGAAAGTGACACACACACGCGCACACACACACACACTGCAATATGCACAGAAAAACACACACATTCACACACACTAAACAGTCATCATGCAGCACATGTCATCATTCATGTCCTTGTTCTTTTCTTCATAAAGCACGTTGACTGTCTTTAACACACACACACACACACACACACACACACACACACACACACACACTGCAATATGCACAGAAAAACACACACATTCACACACACTAAACAGTCATCATGCAGCACATGTCATCATTCATGTCCTTGTTCTTTTCTTCATAAAGCACGTTGACTGTCTTACACACACACACACACACACACACACACACACACACACACACACACACACACACACACACACACACACACACACACACACACACACACACACACACACACACACACACACACACACACACACACACACACACACACACACACACACACACACACACACACACACACACACACACACACACACACACACACACACACACACACACACACACACACACACACACACACACACACACACACACACACACACACACACACACACACACACAGGGCTTCAAAGAGCTCTGGTCTTCCTAATAAGTGTTGCTCTGTAGCGTCTGGGCAGATGGAGAGAGGTAAAGGAAAGTGGGTGAAGGAACTGTCAGGAGACGGAGGAAGCATGGGGATAACATGTGGGATAATTGGCTGATCCTGCGAGATACGAGGCACATGTTCTCAGTTAAGACACCGAAATCCTCGTGCATGCCTTCATAACTTCCAGAATACACTCCTCTCCTCCGACAGCAACGACCAGCTGCCAGAGACTCACAGGATGTAAGAAGTCTGATCATGAAACATCGGTACTGATGTCTCTGCGGCGGCTACTAGTTCACACCAGAGCTGGTTAATAATCCTGCTTTTATCTTCAACACAAGCTCTGTTGGTTGATGCTAAATCCAGGCTGAATACACGCCTTATTTTTATCATTACAGTATGAGACCTCCTTAATCACAACCACTGTGTACCCAGTCATATTGTTTTATCTATGTTTTTAACAAAATCATTATGACATTAGTGTGGTGAGTGATTTCACAGCTAATACTGTTTGTCTTCTTTTCCCTTGTTGTTTACTGGCTTGCAGTTAGGGAATAATTTACTAAGGTATTTAACCTTCGACACAGTTCATAATTTTCTCCTTTCACCGTCTCTTTTCTCATGGCATAGGTCTACGGCCTTGGGTATTGCTGCTATCTCTCTTAAGGAGGGGCAGCTTGGGCGCATTGTTGTTCCAGCTTATGACGGAGCACAAGCTGACATGAGATAGGGACATCTGGATGCCCTTCTTTTCTGTTACGTAGGTTTTCTGTTACGTAGGTTTTCTGTTACGTAGGTTTCTATGGACGACAGCTCTAGTTAGATTCAGGGTCCATATTTGTTTCGTTTTGCTGATGAAGAATGTTGATTATTACACTCCAAACTAGTTAAAACCTCCTACACAGGAAATATTGGTGAGTATTTTTTCCAGAGTTATTACTATTTTGCTCTGAAATAGTGATATTTAATCATTTTGGAGTGTATTTATTACTCATAGCTTCTAGAGTGCGATCAAAAATGCAGAGTCAATTCTATTGGAGTCAAACCATGACCACGCTGTAACGGAGGTGATCTCTGGGGCCGTAGATCTCGGTCTCTTATATTATATAGCTTCATTATTGGCGAAGTATATTACTTTGTTCCACGCTAAAACATTGCACAGGAAGCATGTGAATCTATGTCATTTAAGCATCTATTTGTCACGATCTGTCTATGTTTTAGTTTGTCTGTCTCTGTTTCCTGTTGGAGTTTGAAAGGGTTCCCCCTCCCGTCTTGTCTGTTGCTGCTGATTGTGTTCACCTGGTGCCCCTGTGTTTCTCCTCCCCCCTCACCTGTGTCTTGTTGGTTGATTAGTCCTGGGTGTATTTAGGGTTCTGTTTTCCTGTTAGGTGTGTGAGGTCTTTGTTGCTGGTGACTGTGTTCACGTGAGACAGTCATATTGAGGCTGTGTATCATGAACCACAGCGATGAATAAATGCCCACACCGGGTTGTATTTTAACTCTCTGCCTCTGCCTCCTTTGCTTGGTCGGGCCGCTCAATGGTTAGCTTCACACACGCCCACACTCGTGTTACTTAAGCACTTTGGTTTATTGACCTTTTTTATTATAAAGATTCATTATGGTTCATTTTTTCTATTTGGAGTAAAATGACCTTCTATTTGGAGTAAATGACCTTCTAGTTGGAGTGAAATGACGTTCGATTGGGAGTAAAATTACCTTCTATTATGAGTAAAATGGCAGTAGAGTTGTTTTTAATATACACTACATAGAGTAAATAACCATTAAGCAGAGTCCAAATCTAAGCACATAATAGAGTAAAATGAACTCTAAAAATACAACTCTGAACAAAGAGTACATTTTACTCTATATAGGTTGGGACCAAATGTAATATTTTTAGAGTAAAATGTCCTTCAATTTGAGTCAATTTGACAAAATGTACTGTGTAGCAGAGAGGAGAAACCCTCAAAATTGATTGTGGCATCTCAACCGTGACATGTCTTGTGAATTCTCCGGCCGAAGCTCCAAATAAACCGTCAGTGTTTGCCATCAAAGCTCCAGCTCTCCTCATGTCTCTCTGAGTCCTGACTCCAATTGCTTCCGAAGTTTCCCCCACAAAGTGAAAATGGTTTTCCCTTTTCTGTAGTGTGTTATACGCATATGGGTTTGTGTGCATGTAAATGGTCCGCAAAGGCTAAAGTGTGCGGGAGAGAAACTGTAAAGTACACATACAAATGTATATAAAGTTACAAGGTGTCTCAAACAACAATTTGAATTCCTTTGACAACTTTAAATACACACAGCTCACCTGCTGTAATACATTCTGTCTTTTAGAAATAACTGTGTACACCTGACTTCCTCTTTGTAGAAACATTCAATACGATTTTTGAAAAGGTTATTCAAATCCTGCAACATGTGGGCTTTCAATTTTAAGGAAATACCTAAGGAAATTAGGTTTTTCAACTTGGATTCTGTTGTCAGCAGGCAGATAAACACACTACCATTTTCATTCACATAGCAAGTGGCCTTCTACCTACCATTTATGTATTTATTAAATATTTTCTGCTTTATGGCTAAATATTTCCAATAAATGGCTCTTGTGCGGAGAATTCTCTTCTCAAATTACTTCCTCCAGGTCACTAACAAACCCTCAAGCCAAACATTTCTGTCGATATTTTGGGAACAGGTTAACAAGAAAGGCTTTGAAAACATGCTCAGACCAAGGACTCGTCGACTTCCTTTTTGATTATGTTATTCCCAACAGCTATGTATTGAAGAACGGCCAGGAAATTATGTTTTGAGCTTCAGAGACTTTGAAAGAGGCTGCGGTGTCACGTCCATCTGAGATGAAAGTCACACTGCTGCAATAAAAGCTCTTCACAAACACTCAGATGGGATTAGAGCTACTGTACGTGGTAATGAGGGGGATTATATATTAGCTGTCCTCCTGGTGTTTACCTTGTTAATGTCAATGACAAATCACAGGCGGAGCTACAGAGTTTACACACGTTTTCCCAATCCTGCTTTTATACCATCTCTGCGGGGGGGATAATGCAAAGATTACCAAAGGCATTTGTTTTCATCCTCTGAGGATCATGAGTCCTCCACAACTTTGTACGTTTACTTTAGTCCTGTACTT